TGCTGCCTCTGAGGACAAGCTTCCTATTGTAAGTTCCTTTTGCTATTATTAAAATTGCCACCTGCCAACCTGGAGTGGCCAGCCTCTTCCTTTGGTCTCTTCCTGCCCGCTGAGTACTGGGGCTGGTTTCAAATTTCAGTGGGAAAGCTCCCAAGAGCGTTGTGAGCCAGGAAAAAAAAGAGAAGTCAGAGCTTTTGTGAAACAAGGGAAGTCATTTTAGGCCCCAAGCTATTTTGTGCCTTGCTCGCCAAGCACTCTGTTTGCAGAACTTCCCAGGAGGTGTGGAATTACAAAGAAATGCAAAAACCTCAGTCGTTAAGGGTGTCAAGGGAATGCAAAACCTAACACTCCACCAGGCCTGGAAATTGCCACACCAGATTAGAGACAAATACATCAGTGCTGTTTCCCAAAAGTAAGCAGGACCCTGCATGCCTTACCCAAGATGAGGAGCCCAAGACCCCATCCAGTTCATTCCTGCTCTTGGAGCTTACCCGTAGCCCCTCCCCCTTGTCCGAGCGTTTCCTCTGCCTCCTTATATTGTTAAAAGCTCCGCCCAAGGAGGAGCACAAACCTCCCTAACATCACGTATCACAATGTACGTACAGTGACATTTCCTTAAGATGCATGCGCAAACTTATGCTGACCCCTACCTAAGATGACAAAATTCCCCTTTTTGAAGATATAGCCTAACTCTAAAGAAACCCACTCAACTCTGTTCCCGGGGTTACAGCTTTGGAAGTTATTCCTTGTGATCTCCTTATTTGCTGCAAATAAAATTTCCTTTCTGTGACAGCCCCACCTGGTGTAGCCTCCACCTGTAACTCGCCCAGGAATGAACTCACATGAGTTCAGTTACAATCATGGTTACATTAAGTTAGGTATTAAATTTTGGTTTGGTGATGTGGGCTTGCACAAGTGACTCCATTCGGGGCCTGTTGTCTCTTTTTTTAACACTTGAATCGACTGGAAGTCTGGGAAAATCCCAGAAGAAATGACTCTCTACCTTCTATGTAACCAGTGAGCAAGGAATGCTGAATATGCAGTCAACGTTTAAAAAGCCATGTCAAATCTGGATTGAAGGTAAAAACAACAACAACAACAACAATAAAAAACCCAGCAAACAAGAGTGATCTAGGAGATATTGCCTATCTTGTATTTCTAATTACTTACTTTTGTTTTTTAAATAATATTTATTGAGGAGGAAAGAGCTTTTTTGTTACAAAACTAATATTGGCTGCTGAAAATTTAGAAAATAAAGACACCCCCCCCCAAAAAAGGACATTTTAAAATGTCTTCAACCAGAAATAACTCATGCTGACACTTTGGTATGTATTCTTTCCTTCTTCCCTTGCAAACGTACACATTTTAACAATGTAATTAAACGTACTGCCTGTTCCTTCTGTGTAAGGAAGAGAAGGGTCACTGTGGACATCTGTGGTTCAGACATGGTTCAGCAGTTGCTAGAAGCTGGTGAGAGCAATAATGATCACACCGTCTTTTGGCAGAATCGTCCGTCCTTGTTAAGATAATGTTCCAGAATGTATGTATTTGTACATGGTGGAGCCACACAGCCACAAATGAAAAAGATGTATCTTTTCCAAAGCCTTTGTAGGAGAGGAAAGACGTTTTCCCCTATTCTCTTAGGTTTAGTGCCCAGGGCCTGTGAATTAAACTGACAAAAGACAGATTAACAGGAGAAGGTTCCTCACTATGCACACAGGAGTCAGTAAAAGAAGTAGCTGGTTTAAATGGTTAAAGCTAAAGGTTTGGTTATCTAACAGCTTCTACTAATAGGAAGAAGAAATAGATTCCTTTAGCAAAAACAGATGGATTTTTAGGAGAACAAATGGGAGAAAGGAAAAAATTATGAGAATATTTGTTTATACAGGTGCCGGTGGTCTTTCTATCTTCTTCATGGCCTTGAAACACCCCTGGAGAGGGGATATATGGTAGGTTTATTCTTGGTCCCTCCCCTGGGAGTAGAAACCACCCCAAAGAGAATTTAGGGCAGCCTCATTTCTTAGGAGTTTCTGCTTTTAGATAAGGAAAGCTCTAAGAAGGCTTTTCTCTACATCAGTTGAATCTCAAATATCTTCAGCTTAAAATAATCTTCATACCAACTCTGGGAGTTCCAAGTGAGTCCCCACACCTTCAAAGATGGAAAAGCAACAAAAGGGTTGGAAGCTAACACTTTCTGAACCATGGCACTGGGCTGGGTCCTTTATTTACACAGTTCCACAGTTAGTTTTGACTAATTCTATTTTACAAATAGCACACTAGAGGCTCAAAGGAGCTAAGTAATGGACCCGATAATCTGAGCCAAATTGTATTTGAGAGTCTAGAACCATTCTACTTTCATTCAACAAGCATTCGGCGAGTGAATCCTGTGTGGCAGGTTTGATAGCAGGCACTGAGGATGCCAAATAACAAATTGCTCCTGCCCTCAAGGCATTGCAGTCTAAGGGGAAATCAAAGCAGAGTGGTGATTACTGTAGAACGTAACAGGTGCTGTGATAGAGACGGGTCCTCTGCACACAGATCGAAGCAGGAGCTATAGAAACACAGAGGAGGAACACCAGAATCAGCCAGCTGACAGCCCTCTGGCTGAATCAGGCCCTCCCAGGAATCCTAGTTGACCTATATAGTCATTATGGGTTGAATTGTGCCCTCCAGAAAGATATGTCGAAGTCCTAACCCCAGGACCTCAGAAGGTAATCTTATTTGGAAATAGGTCAGTGTAGAAAGAGTAAGACGAGGTCATCGTGGAGTGGGTGGGCCCGAAGTCCAAAATGACCAATGTCCTTATGAGAAGATGATGTGAAGACACAGGAAAGAATGCCCTGACAGAGGCAGAGATAGGAGCAATGTGTCTACACGCCTTCTCTCAGTTTCCTCTTAGGAATGATCCTGCCCTAACAGAGCCTCTATTCTGTCCAGAGCTTCCATGTTATGAATGTTATTGGGGCAGGCCTCCCTTTGAAGGTGGGTCTTTGGGTGGTTTCCCCACAAGCAGAACCTGAGATGCAAATTCACGTTCAAGTGCTCTATGGGGAAAGCGTGGCAGGAGGAGCAGAATGGGGGAAGCAGGACAGAAGAGGGGAATAAAGTGAGGCAAGCATGTGGTCTCCACGGAAGCCTAACTCAGTCTTATAACCTGGAGATGCTCTGGAGCACAAACTGCAATACCGAGTCAGTCGCCTTGGAGCCTGCTTGTACCCCTTCTTCATCAGTCAGTCATTGGACAACTCAGGGATGGACGAGTGGCAAGCTGAGTCCCCTGGGCAGGCCAAGGCAGCACCTATGTGGCTGAGGGCAGTTCTCTAGCTAGGGCAGCAACAGGCCCCCCTCAGAGCAACAGTAGGGGAGTGGGTGCACCTGCTGGCAAAGGGGATCTGGGCCCCCTCACACCAACTACCTCCAGCACGGGGGAGCCTGACGTGGCCCCGTGCTCTTCTGCCTGGGTGGGCAAGTGTGTCTAATCTGGGGAAAATTAAGAACCAGACCAGAAGGAGAAGCTCTTTCCTCCTGCAGTGTCCTTCTAGCACCTTCTATTGACAAAGTCTAACAAAATGCTCGCTGCGAACAAGAAGTGCTTAAAGGGTCTAGCCCATTACAGCAGAGCAGATAATAAAAGATAGGTTCTGACCCAAGTAGCAATAAATTGATAACTGGTACAGCCACTGAGATCACATCTCCCTTTGCTTTTCTTCTTTCTCTCCATTCTTTTTGTGTGTTTATAACATTCACTCCAAAAAATGAACAAAAGAGCCTGTGCAGCCTCACTCTTTCGCTCAAGCCTGCAGTGCTGGCAGGCTAGGCCAGTGTTCAGTCTCTGCACTGCCAGGAAGCTCTGAGCCACTGATAGGACCAGCATGGCATGATAAACGGTAAGAGAAAACCCATTTGGGCACAGCCCTGAAGGCCAGCTCCTTTGCGGGGTGCTGGAGAAAGTAGGGGTCAAAGACAAACGTCCAGATTCTGCCACACATTGTCCAAGCAGTTATGGCTGCTCAAACTTTATGGAGAAACATGATAAAGTTCTGGTGGTTGAATTTCATCTCAAAGGTCACACTGTTGGGGACATGACTGGAGTCTGCCTTCAGGTCATCAAAGTAGCCAGAGCCCCTCTTTTGTCCTTATGAGTTTTCATAATGCAAACAAGGTAGTAATACATTTTCATAAAAACATTTAAAAATTATATTTTCTATTAAAATATATTTGAAAATAAATTTCTAAGAAATTAACAAAAGAAAATAGAGTAACAGTCTATTTTCCAAATAATATCTTTTTCATTGTCATAAGTAACACTTTGTCATTATTATCCCCAGAAGTTAGGACAGTGCGAAGCACCAGGTAAGGTCTTTTCCCATTCTGTTCTCTGTGGTGACTGACCTCCAAAGTCAGTTTCAAATCATGTGCTCAGCCTTAATTTAGGATGTTAGAGCTCAGTGAACCTGTCAGGCACAGAACTCATTTATACTCAACCTTGCAAAAACAAAAACAAAACTGCTCACCGGTATTACATACTTCCTTATTTCCTTTTCTTTTTTAAAGATATCATCATTATTATTATTATTTTAAAGATTTTATTTAGGGGCGCCTGGGTGGCTCAGTCATTGAGCATCTGCCTTCGGCTCAGGTCATAGTCCCAGGGTCCTGGGATCGAGCCCCGCATTGGGCTCCCTGCTCGGCGGGAAGCTTGCTTCTCCCTCTCCCACTCCCCCTGCTTTTGTTCCCTCTCTGGCTGTGTCTCTCTCTGTCAAATAAATAAAATATTAAAAAAAAAAGATTGTACTTATTTATTTGAGAGAGAGAGAGAGAGCATGCAAGAGCACGAGCTGGGTGAAGGGCAGAGGGAGAAGCAGACTCTCCACTGAGCAGGAAGCCCTTTTTAGAGCTTGATCTCAGGACTCCAGGATCTCGACCTGAGCCGAAGGCAGACACCCAACCGACTAAGCCACCCAGGCGCCCCTAAAGATATTATTTTTAAGTAATCTCTGTGCCCAATGTGGGACTCGAACCCACAACCTGAGGATTAAGAGTCACACACTCTACCAACTGAGTCAGCCAGGCGCCCCACGCACTTCCTACATTAGGAAATAGCTTTACATTACTTGTGTTGTTGGATTTTTTTTTTTTTAGCTTTTAATTGTGCACTTACATGTATCAGAAAAGCTATTCATTTTTTTCCTAGTGATCAATAAAAAATGTACTAAAAATAAGAAAAGGCCTTCATCTTTATGAGGTGATTTTAGAAATTATTATTATGCTCTTACATTTTCGGGAACATTGCCATTTAGAGGATTAGTGGTAATTAGTGAAAACCATAATACAGTATATTTAATGAAAATGTCATTGATGTTCTATTTAGTTACATCTACTTTTGTGAGTGAAACAAATGCTTTAAAATATTTGTCAGTTTAGGTACGCCTGGGTGGCTCAGTCGTTAAGCGTCTGCCTTTGGCTCAGGTCATGATCTCAGGGTCCTGGGATGGAGTCCCTCATAGGCTCTTTGCTCAGCGGGGAGCCTGCTTTTCCCTCTCCCTCTGCCGTTCCCCCTGCTTGTGCTCTCTCTCTCTCTTTGTCAGGTAAGTAAATAAATCTTTAGAAAAAAATAAAATATTTGTCAATTTGATGATACAGGTAGGCCTGATGAACAGATTGGAGCAGAACACTGTGGAGCTCTGGGTACTAAGGACTTTTCTGTAGCCACATCCAATGGCTTGTTCTCAGATTTCGTTCTGTTTTACCTCTTTGAAATGCCTGATTCTGTCACCCATCCCCTGCTCTTATTATTCTCAGGTGCCGTTAAAACACTGATTGGGATTATGCTAAGTGAAATAAGTCAAGCAGAGAAAGACAGTTATCATATGGTTTCACTCATATGTGGAACATAGGAATAGCACAGAGGACCACAGGGGAAGGGAGGGAAAACTGGAGGGGAAGAAATCAGAGAGGGAGACAAACCTGAGAGACTCCGGACTCCGGGAAACAAACTGAGGGTTACAGAAGGGAGGTAGGTGGGGGGATGGGGTAACGGGGTGAAGGGTATTAAGGAGGGCACGTGTTCTGATGAGCACTGGCTGTCATATGCAACTAATGAATCGTTGAACACTACATCAACAACTAATGATGTACTATATGCTAACTGAACATAATAATAAAAAATTAAAAAAACAAAACAAACCACTGATTCTCTTCTCTGTGCACCAGGACATTCTCCCATTTGTACCTCTTTCTCCTCTGAGATGGTGTACACCAGACTGTGCTCACTCTCTTCTTCACTATCATCACAGGATTAAAATGTATCTTGCTGGTCATAAGCTCCAAATGCCCTCCCCTAAATTACCTTTCGCCAGAGGTCTGCATGAAACTCTCCTATCCATCTACAAGCTCACCACCAGGGCTCTGGAAAAACTGGACCACAAATCAGAAAACCTAGAGTGAACCCCGGATTTATTCCCTGTGTGAGCTCGAGGGTGTCACCTGGCCTCTCTGAACCTAGTGTCCAAACCTGTAAAATGGGGATCTCTGTCTTGCTTTGTGTGAACCTCATACAAGATCATGCATGTGAAAACACTGAGTAAAAGAGCAACTCTTCTTTCTCAAGATCTTACAAAAATGCTGGTATTATTGCAGATATTTTACACTTATTATTTCATTTGGTTCTAACAACCCTGTAAGACATATATTCCTTTTTTTCTTTATTAAAGATTTTACTCGGGGCGCCTGCATGGCTCAGTCGTTAAGCGTCTGCCTTCGGCTCAGGTCATGATCCCAGGGTCCTTGGGTTCGAGCCCCACATCGGGCTCCCTGCTCAGCGGGAAGCCTGCTTCTCCCTCTGCCACTCCCCTGCTTGTGTTCCCTCTCTCGCTGTCTCTCTCTCTCTGTCAAATAAATAAATAAAATCTTAAAAAAAAAGATTTTATTTATTTGAGAGAGAGCATGAGCAGGGGGGAGAAGGATAAGCAGGGTCCCCACTGAGCAGGGAGCCTGACGTGGGGCTCGATCCCAGGACCCTGAGATCATGACCTGAGCCGAAGGCAGACGCCTGACTGAGCCACCCAGGCGCCCTAAGCCATATATTCTTATTCTTATTTCACAAAATGAGAAAAATTAGGGCTTAGAACGCTTAAGCATTTTGTCCAAGGCCACAGAGCTAGTACCGGGGACAAGAGTAAAACCTGCGCTTAGTTCCAAAGCCCGTCCCTCCCCCCAAGCAACAGTCAGAATTCTTGGTTGCAGGTGACAGGAAGTGGATTCTAACAGAAGGACAGTGCAGGTTTACAATATTCGCCTGGGGCCTGAGGACCACACTGGGAAACCTCGCTGGAAGGAAGGATGCTCCAGGGAACAAAAAAGGAAGGATGTAAAATCCTCTTTTAGCCACGACAGTTGGGAGGGACTCTGTGACACCAGACACTGCTGCCATCTCCATAGGACATCACTGCAGTTGCCACACACAACTGTTTGTCCCAGATTCAGAGTCCCAGGTGAGCATCTGATCAAGGGAGCCTGGCACGTACCCCCCAGCCCAAAAAGAGGGAAGGCACTGTGACACTTCAGGTGGGGACTTGGTTTCTGCACACACCTCTGCAGACAGAGGAGACCAGGGCAAGGAGGGAAGTAGGTTTGCAAGTGACCCCCCTAAGCTGCCTCCTCACAGGCAGAGGGATGCCCCAACCGAAACATGAAAGAACACTTTCCCATTCTTTCTGGTACTGGTCTGAACCCATATGTAGGTCATGCGTGCAAAGCAACAGAGTTACATACAAAGACATTTACAACATTATAAAAAAGACATCATCACATATCAAATGAAAAAAGGAAGGCATATTCAAAAGCTGTTGTTGGAAGGGGCATCTGCGTGGCTCAGTCAGTTAAGCGCCCGACTGTTGATTTGGGCTCAGGTCATGATCTCAGGGTTCTGGGACCCAGCCCGGCATCGGGCTCTGTGCTCAGCGGGGAGTCTGCTTGTCCCTCTCCCTCTGCTCACACTCTCACTCTCTCTCTCAAACGGATAAAAAAATAAATATCTTTTTTCAAGGTGATGTTGGAATAATTAGTTAAAAATTTAGAGACATAGAAACTATTTAGGTTCTCATTTGAATAATACCAAAATAAGCTTGAGAGACTTTAGTTATATAAATAAATAGAACAAAAAATTCAGGGGCATCTGTATGGCTCAGTCGGTTAAGGCATCAGACTCTTGATTTTGGTTCAGATCGTGATCTCAGGTCATGATCTCAGGGTCGTGGGAGGCAGCCCCTCATGGAGCTCTGCACTGGGCTCTGGGATCAGCAAGGAGTCCGCTTGTCCCCCTCCCTCTGCTCCTGCCTACTCCCTGTTCATGTTCCCTCTCAAATAAATAAGTCAATAAATAAATAATATTTTTAAAAAAAATAACAAAAAATTTAAAAACTACGATTGAAGAATTGAAGGAAAGATGCCATTGTTCGACTACATAAAACATTTTAACTCCTGTATCTAAAAATAAAGTTAGATTTGGAAAAATGTATTTGGTATGAAAAATGCTGAGAGTACAATAGTTTAAGATTTTTTTTTTTTAATTTATTAATGAGACACGGAGAGAGAGAGAGAGGCAGAGGGAGAAGCAGGCTCCCAAGGAGCAGGGAGCCCTATGTGGGACTCGATCCCAGGACTCCGGGATCACGACCTGAGCCGAAGGCAGACGCTTAACCATCTGAGCCACCCAGGTGCCCGAGAGTACAATAGTTTAATTGGCAAAGGATTGTTATGGGCTGAACTGTGTCCCCCTAAATTCACAGTTGAAGCCCTAACCCCCAGTAGCTCAGAATATGAGTATATCAGGAGATAGGGAATTTCAAGAGGTAATTAAGTTAAAATGGGGTCATTAGGGTGGGCCCTAATCCAATATGGCTGGTTCTAGAAGAGGAGATCAGGACAGAGAATCACAGAGGGAAGGCCACCTGAAGACACAACTGTCTACAAGCCACAAAGAGAGGCCTCAATAGAAACCAACACTGTCAACACCTTGATTGATCTCAGACTTCCAGCCTCCAGAATAGTCAGAAAACAGATTTCTGTTTTTAACGCAGTCTGTGGTAGTTGTTACATGCATCCTAGCAAACTCATGCAGGCATGTACAGATCTTTCATAGAAGAGAGAAGAATTAATACACAAAAGTACTCAATGCCAGAGGGAAATCCTCACAAAAGAGATGACTTTTAAGTTTGGTTCTGAGAAATGAAGGGGAATCGTTGACAGCCAATGAACTTGTGATATTTTTTAGAGTCGGTTTGCTTGTTTTTAAAGAAAAACACCTTGTATTTTGCCAAAAATGAGTGAATTTGAAACACTAAATTTTAGTTAGTAATTCTGTAAGAATGAAATAAACACAGACAACAAACTAAATGAAGATTTGTTCAAACAGGAGCTGTGTCAGATACCATCTAGAAGCTGTCCGGATCACTTTGATAGGGTTTTGTGGTGAGCTAATCTTTGGGGACCAGATGACAGATTCAGTGCATTGAATCTATTTGTGCTGAATCACTGTTGCTGTGGCATTTTTGTGGCTGTAAGCCGGGGGTCTGGCTGCGCTGTTGGGGTGGATGTGGTAGACAGCCCTGTTGCTGCCTTCCTGGCTCCCTTCTAGTGTGCCCGCAAAAGTTGCAGGGGTCGGAGAAGCAGAAGTCATACTTTACTTCCCAGACTTCCTTGCAGCTAGGGTCTGAACCGGAAATCAATTACACCAATGAGATGCATGCACATCTCTACTGCAGCTCACTACCTCTGTGATCTGAATAGGCTTACTCTCTCCTTTCCTCGGGCTCCTCGTCTGGAAAGTGGGGTAATAACAGCCTTTACCTCGTAGCTGTCATGAGGACTAAGTGAGTTTACTCATATGAATTGCTTAGACTGGTACCTAATACTAAGTGTTAGCTTTACTAACATTGAATAATCATCGTTGTTATTTGAAGGCAGAAGTGAGGTAGAGGCCATCTCCCTGATGTGTAGCTATCTTCCTTCGGCAAGTACTGTCCTGGGGTTTTCTGTAGCAGGGTTCTGATGGCCATCACTAGCTTCATGGG